GAGCTATTGTTTTTGTGTAGGTGCGAGGGACTTACGCGTAGCCTCCTACTGGATTGATACCTTGGTTCTCAAAAACTGAGGGAAATACTTACGCTACTTTGCTGCATCATCCTCTCCTCTTCGGGGAAATCCAACGCAGTGCTCAAGAGGTAGCAGCCGGCAGCTGGGATTCTGAGCTGGAAAAGAAGAAAATATTAGAGACCTATTCTGCACAGCTCCAAAAGTCCTGAAACTTCACGGAAGTCATTTTTGGAATATATAAAAAATATTGAGCGCAAGAAGTTCCGGAGGGGGGACACACCCTGCCCACAAGGGTGGGGGTGCGCCCCCTACCTCGTGGGCCCCCTGGTGGCCCTTCGATGCCCATCTTATGCTATATGGAGTCATTCGATGAGGAAAAAATCATAAGCCAGCTTTCAAGACGAAACTCCGCCGCCACGAGGCGGAACCTTGGTGGAAGGAATCTAGGGCTCCGGCGGAGCTGTTCTGCCGGGGAAACTTCCCTCCGAGAGGGGGAAATCATCGCCATCGTCATCACCAACGATCCTCTCATCGGGAGGGAGTCAATCTCCATCAACATCTTCACCAGCATCATCTCCTCTCAAACCCTAGTTCATCTCTTGTATCCAGTTCTTGTCTCTAAGTCTGGGATTGGTACATGTGGGTTGCTAGTAGTGTTAATTACTCCTTGTAGTTGATGCTAGTTGGTTTATTTGGTGGAAGATCATATGTTCAGATCCTATATGCATATTAATACCCCTCTGATTATGAACATGAATATGCTTTGTGAGTAGTTACGTTTGTTCCTGAGGACATGGGAGAAGTCTTGGTATTAGTAGTCATGTGAATTTGGTATTCGTTTGATATTTTGATGAGATGTATGTTGTCTCTCCTCTAGTGGTGTTATGTGAACGTCGACTACATGACACTTCACCATTATTTGGGCCTAGAGGAAGGCATTGGGAAGTAATAAGTAGATGATGGGTTGCTAGAGTGACAGAAGCTTAAACCCTAGTTTATGCGTTGCTTCGTAAGGGGCTGATTTGGATCCATATGTATCATGCTATGGTTAGGTTTACCTTAATACTTTTGTTATAGTTGTGTATGCCTACAATAGAGGTTAATCATAAGTGGGATGCTTGTCCAAGTAAGGGCAGCACCCAAGCACCGGTCCACCCACATACCAGAATATCAAAGTACCGAACGCGAATCATATGAACGTGATGAAAACTAGCTTGACGATAATTCCCATGTGTCCTCAGGAGCACTTTTCTCTAAATAAGAATTTGTCCAGGCTTGTCCTTTGCTACAAAAGGGATTGGGCCACCTTGCTACACTTTATTTACTTTTGTTACTTGTTGCTCGTTACCAATTATCTTATCACAAAACTATTTGTTACCTATAATTTCAGTGCTTGCAGAGAATACCTTGCTGAAAACCGCTTATCATTTCCTTCTGCTCCTCATTGGGTTCGACACTCTTACTTATCGAAAGGACTACGACAGATCCCCTATACTTGTGGGTCATCAACCATCCAAGATTGCCTCGTTTGTATTCAGCAAAAAAAACCCAGGAAACTTTTGTGCTTACATTTGATTCTGGAAAGGCCTCATACACATTGATCACAACCCTACCACAGGGGTTTTGGAGCATCTGGGCTTTGATGGGCATAACTCCATCCTTTCCACCAGTACATGTTTTCTATACTTCTTAATGATGTCCCTAGAAAGAAATTCATTATCGTTGTGGGATCATACAACGAGGTAACAATCTCACATCTCCTCTTTGTCACTGCCTACCTCCTCCCATGTGTCGCTAATAAAGCCTATCAATCGAACTTGCTCAAGCTCCCCTCACAATCCCAAACATAGAATTGCCCATAATCTAGTACATTGATGACACTCTGCTATTAATCCCACTGGCAATTATGTTGCCTCAAAGGCATTTCATAATCTTATTATGGTCAACCACTGTTATCAGTCAACTTTCAAAAGGCATGCCTCCTTCCTAGCAACGTCTCTTATGGAAAAACGCTTAATCTTACTAATCTTTTTGGTTGGCGGTGGGTAGTTTCCCCTTCACATACCTTGCCCCCCTCTTGGTCTGAATAAGCCAAGAACCAGGAACTACGCCTCTTGTTGAGAGTGTCAGCTCCTACTAATCTTTCCTCCTCCTTGGCTGCATAATCTTAATTACTCCGGCCGTAAAGAAATATAAGAGAGTTTAGATCTCTACTTTAGTGATCTAAACACTCTTATTACGGAGGGAGTACTAAATATATTCTTAGGTCTACCAACCTTCTTCCTCAACACCCTCAAGATGTCATTGACCCCATTGATAAATTCAGATGCACCATTTAAGGGGGAAAAGGATACCTCTGGTAATCCTAAACCATTGGCAGTTTAGGATTTAGTTTGCCAAAGGATAAAGGTGGATTTGGAATAGTAAACCTCCCCATTCATATTGTCTCTATTTTTCTCAACTCAGAATATCAATGTGCAGTCTTTGCTCGACTACCTAGCTCTAGCCTTCCAAATGTATCAAAGGATAGGCTCAACACTAGAGACATGCCTCTTAAGGAAAACATTCTAGCTATAAATAACCATTGATATGTCCTTTGCTCTAATGATACAGTTGAAACAAGGGATGATCTCTTCAATGTGATTGATTAGATCTCTTACAATATCTATCTGATATTATTCTATTTTTCAAATTAAGAGGTCGCCCCCACCCCTTAGTTTCATTGTTGAAATCAGATGAAACAACAGAGGACCAAAAGCCTGGTTTCATTCTTTGCACAAACCATCTTAATTTTTAATTTTGCATACCCATCCATCGGGTACTGAGCAAGCAAGTGACCTCCAAATCTATAGACCCTAGGCCACCATGGCGAGTGAATTGCAGAAAACCACCACATTGAAGCGTCGTGTTGCAGAAAAGACTCTTCTACGAAATTGTGCTAGAAAACACTGATTTTTGTCCTAATCATTTGCAGAAACCACCTAACATTCTGTTCGGGCATTTTAACCTCTATTATGACACGTGGGTCCCACATTTGATGACGTGGCATACCGTTTCGTGATAGACACCGTTAGACTGGTATTTTTCCAAAAAGAACCTTCCTCCCAATCCCTCCCCTGCTTGATCCAGATCGCCACCAGGCTTCCCTTCTCGCCCCAGCTGATGTCGTCGCCGGCGGCGTGCGTGCAGGGACATGGCAAAGTGCGCCTGAGAGGGATGCCGGGGACGTGGAGCAGCTGCTCCGGCTGGGCCACCGGACCTCGCGCTACTCCGCCGTGAGCAGGTCATCCGGGAGCAGCGTCAGGGCTCGTTTACGCAACTGCCTGGTGTGGCGACCTGCCAGAGCTACAGGACGCATGCGCCCTCCTCGCCGTGCCGGAGCTGTAGGACGCTCTCCCTGCCGACATTGGTCTGGCGAGCTCGAGGGCGTCCCAGCTCCTGCGTGCAGAGTGGCCGAGCTCCAAGTGCCGCATACCCTGTTCTGGAGGTGCCGCACACGGCGCGGTGGAGCTCGAATGTCGCCGCAGCCACGGCGGGCGACACCATGACCGTCCAGCTCCTTCCCGCTACTGCTTGCCACTGCCGCGCCTTCTCGCTGGTGGTCGTTGCTGCTGCTCCTTCCCACTGCTGCTGGTTGCCGCTGCTGCTCCTTCCCGTTGCTTGCCATCGCCACCGCAGCTCCTTTCCCGATGCTGCTGCTCCTTGCCGGGGCTGCTGCTCCTTGCCATTGCTACTTAATGCTACTCCTTGCAGTTGATGCTCTGCTCCGGCAGCCACGGTACCAAGGTCCAGGCAGCAGCAGCACGAAATTCTCGGGAGCTGACCTGGGCGAGCGCAGGGGTGGGGGAAGGGGGCGACTGAGTTGTGACGGGCATGGCCGTGGTGGTTCGATGGAGGCTTGGCGGCGGCGACGCTGGTGAGAGTGGCATGGCCGTGGTGGCTCGGGAGAGAGAGAGTTCAGGGAAGGAGATGGAGAGAAGAAAGAGAGAAAATCCATGGTGGGAGTTGATTGCCTTTTGTTTTTTGATTGAAGGGTGTCCTTGTAAAACTAAAGGGACTGATTTGTAAATCCAAAAAATCCCTCATCTAACTTCGTCTACCACGAAAGTTGTGCCATGTCATCAAATGCGGGACCCACATGTCATAATAGAGGTTAAAGTGGTTTCTACAGATGATTAGGACAAAAATCAGTGCTTTCTGGCACAAATTCGTAGAAGAGTCTTTTCTGCAACACGACGCTTCAATATGGTGGTTTTCTACAATTCACTCCCACCATGGCATATGGGTTGGCAGCCAATTAACAGGATGATATCTAAGAGTTATAGCCTTGTTCAATCTATTTTATTAAAAGGTTCTTTAGAAATCTCAAAGAAAGTCATCATATATTATGCGATGTTGCTTAAGCCAGACTCTATAAAACTAATTTACAACCTGCAGGCCAAATACCCAACTTGTTTTCTAACCAGCCCAAACTTGTCCAATCCAAAAGAAACAATTTCACTTTTACGAAAGGAATCGTCAGACCCGGAAAATGTTCAAAACAGCACTGATACAATCCAGTGAGCTGAGCAGTAAACGATTACGAACAAACACAATTAAAGATCTGAAATTGACAAGTTGGTTACTCCCTCCTTCCATCTATATAGGGCCTAATGCGCTTTTCGAGGCTAACTTTGACCAAATATTAGAGCAATAATATATGACATGCAACTTACACAAAGCACACCGTTAAATTCGTGTGTGAAAGGAGCTTTCGATGATATAATTTTCACATTGTGCATGTCATGTACTATTAATCTTGTCAATAGTCAAAGACGGTCTTAGAAAATGCATTAGGCCCTATATAGATGGAAGGAGGGAGTACCACTTTATGCCTACAGCAATAACGGACCCTGGTACTCCATGCTCAAGGAACATCACAATAAACGGCAGAATTGAGAACCTGGGACGCCGCCATGGATATCTCCAAGCCACGGCAGCTAGGATAAACAAGCTTCGATCGTAGGTGGCCACGGCTGATGGTAGGCGTACTCCGTGACGTGGTGCTTGTTCTGGAGCGCGGCGTACTCCCCGTCGTCGTGCAAGACGGAAGAGGTGAACTCGGCGGCGTCCTTGTCCAGAGTAAGAACAATGTTGTATCCGGCCGTCCAGTAGGCGAACCCGTCGTCGCTCCCTGCGAAGTAGACGGTACCCAATCCGCAGTCTGTAGTGCTGCCGCGTCCGGCGCCGGAGGTCCAGCGGTCCCCGCGAGCGGACGAGAAGGCGCAGGCCCTGAGTCCCTGACGATACGATGCCCACGGCGATAGAGCGCGCACGTCACCCTGAATTTTGACATGCTGAAGCGCGTGCCCGCGGCCTCGTCGTCGTCGTCGTCGCCGTCGAGGAGGAAGGCACCCAGGAAGTCCCCACCATGGAACCATGCTGAGTCAGGGAGCACCCTGTAGCGCCGCGTCAGGGGATCGCATATGACGAGGCGTTGCCACGCTGCGTCGAGGAGAGGAGGAGGAAGCCGCTCCGGCTGTCGACGAGCTCCCAGCAACAATCGCCATATTCCCCCCGTGGGAGGAAGTCGAGCGCGAGCTTCCGAGCGGCGACGGGGCGCGCCCACGGCGAGGAGGAGGGGACGAAGACAGGGTTACAGCCAGGCGGACGCGGGTGCTGGTAGCGCCCATCGACGCGGTAGTGGCTGGCAACGCAGGCGGACGACGCGCCGTGAAGAGAGCCGAACCTGCGGAGGACGCGGGCGTCGTCGCCCGCGATTATGCGGCGCCAGCGCCTGCAGGCGCACGCGGCGCGGACGAGGTGGAGATGCGAGTGGAGGCGCAGGAACACCCGCTCGACAAGATCGTCGTGGATGGCGTCAATCTCGGTCGGCCACGCCGCTTTCCTCCGGGAATTCTTGCGCCGGCCGCCCCCCATGGCGACACGGCGAAAGATCTGTGCGTAACTTTGGGTTTGGGTTGAGGTCCAAGAGAATCGGTCAAATCCAACTAATCATGCATGCATGCATCACCTCTTCTCAGACTTGTCAATTCTGCCGTTTGGTTACAACTTGCGCTATGTTTAATTTGCTTACAAAACTTGTAAAATACGGAATTGTGATCACATAACTTGTCATCTCGTGCAAATACGGTGACTTCGTCTATATCCCGTGCTTAGGTGCCATGCCTGTGGGGCAGTGACAGAAACAAATTGGCGCAACAAATGAGATAAAAAAGGGTGTGGTAGGTTCGAACTTACGACTTCATTTACTTTTTTTTTTGAGACAACGACTTCATTTACGTGAACGCACTAGCGAACCACTCAACCGAACACAGTTTCATGCATACGTGGAGATACATTTCTTTTACATTGAACACATTTTTTCTTCTCAATTCTGGTTCCCAGGTTTGGCCAGAAAAACAGGTTTCCGAAAAAGCATTTTTCGCCAGAATTTTTTAAATGAAATTCGATTTTAAAACACGCGTCAAAATGTATAATGTTTAACCCAAAATGTACACAAACTTGTTCACGAGCAAGATTTTTTTTATTCCGGTTGTTTTGGAAGGAGCTGCAAAATCCGGTTTTTGAAATATCTCAGACAATTCTGGGTTTTTTTGCCCGAAATGTTGAATTAAAATTTTAATGTCTAAATATATTTATCTTAACACATTACTTTAAATTAGTGCTTCCTATACAGTGGTCATCCCGACTCCTTCCCTATAGAAAAGTCGCGAGTCGAATTCATTGTTGCGGCTCCGAGAGCAATATTTTAAATAACATTTTTTATTTAAAATGAGAGTGGATAACACAAAATAATATTTCCCAAAAGACGGTCTGATATTGTATGCCCATATGAGGATTTAAGTTACGTTCATGTATTGTTAGACTAGTTTCTCTAGTTTAAATTCAAAATTTTCAGGCGCTCAATTTTTTCTCTTAATGGAAATTTGGTTAGAGAAAAATTATTTGGATACGAGTAAGTCGTCATTGCAAAAACATAAAATTCAGCATTTTTCTTTTTGACCACAAAAAGGTACTTGGTGGTGTGTTATTGGCTAAGTTACTCCCAAAAAAAATTGCTTATGTGACAAGTAATTAATGAGAGGTGCTACAAGCTAATAAATGAGGTCATCTAAGATACTACTATTATGTTACTTTGCATTATGAAAATAGTAACTTAGGATAGTGTCATATGCATGACACTAGTCTAAGTTACTGCCCACTATGACCAGCTTTAGGTGGTCATGGGTTCGAACCCATCGGCTGCAACCTTTTTTATTTTATTTGAGGGCCATTGTTCGTAATTAAATAATCTTAAGGGCTATTGAGCAAAATAAAAAATGCGTGTGCGACACCCCGAAGAGATATCTGTCACTGGCAGGGGCCCATGCCTGTGTGGCATGCGACGCTAGCGCGCAAACATCCGGAGTGACCGTATTTGCATCTAAACACAAGTTAGCTCACTAGAAAACCGTATTTTTAAAATGTTAGTACCAAACTGTACATCTAACGCAAGTTCTGTGACTGGCAGTGATATTACCTCATTCTGATTTATAGCCGTGGGCCCATGTGATGCGCGCCACGTCCCAGGATCCACGGCGACGTCAGCGGCACGCTTTGATCGCCTCGCGTTCATAAATCCCAACAAAATCACCTTTTTTTAGGGAAACAAAATCACGCATTTGGAAGGGAATGACTATGTGTCAGTCGACTGAATCGTTTTCGTGACCAGTAAATTCTATCTGAACAGTTGGATCTTGATCCAACAGATCTGCAGTCATCTTTCACCTCAAACCCGATGCACACTGTTTATCTTTTTCCTCTGGCCGCCCTCCGGCCTAGGCCGAACCGCCAGCCTCTGCCGCCCTGCCCTCCCCTTGATCTCCCCCCACTGCCAGGCTTGCCGCCCCCCGGCCATCCCTCTAGCCCTGCCCCCATCTAGTTTTCTTCTCCGGTGAAGCCACACCTCCGCACCATCCACCGCCGTCCACCACCGCCCTTACCCTGAACCCTACGATAGATAATGGGGTGATGACGGCGAGCTCCTTCCTTCTCTCCAACAAGGTCATTCCTTCTCCTTCCTTCACTCAAAATTAACTGACCCAAAACTAAAAAGGTCAGCTGACTGAAAATGTAGCTTATATATTTTTGGAATATGGATTTGTTATCATCTAGATGAGAAAATAAGTATGTCACATCTAAGTAGTTTACTACACGATCAAGACCCTGAAACATTTGTGCAAACTGTTTGATCGCCCGCGCTGATTGTGCGTTGCTTGTGGGCTGTTTTTCCTCAGCCTACTTGTTTTTGTTTGTATGTTTGGGCCTATGCATTAGTCTGCACTAGAGAGTGTGGCTTTTTTTGTGTTGTTTTTTCAAGTGGGCTGGAGGTAGAATGCTAGAAATCCTACCAGAAACAGTACAAAGAAATCCTTCAAATTCCTATAGGATTTAATTCTATGAATCAAATAATCAACATAGAAAAAAAATCTTAAGCACTCTCGTTCTCCAAAAATCCTATGAACCTCGTTTGAATCAAAGGAGTCCATAGTTTTCTTTTTCTTTTTTAACATAGTACGGACGCAGACACTCATATACTCATCCCTATAAACACACATATGCACACCCTACCTCTATGAGCACTTTCGAGAGACTGAGCTGGCACATCATCTTAAGATTAACGAACTCGTCACATACACCTCATAGTCGACAAAAACCTCTTCTTCCACTGAACACACATCGAAGAAGGCCTAAAATAATTACAGAAAATTGTGAGCACCAAAATCTAGGACTTAAACTTTGATGAACCGGGATACCATCTCCTGCTAACCATCCAACCACAGTTTGTTTCGTGAGTCTGTAGCTGTTGGAGTGGTCATTTTCGCGCGCCCTGGTCGCAATGTAATCATGTGATGTAACCCGGCTAATTAGGTAGGTTCTGAATCAATGTGATCTCGTTCGCCTCTCGCCGTCTCAGCGACATACAGACAGTTGGTTCCAGGAATGCTGCGGCCCTGCCTGTTCCAGGAGTGAGACATCACCACAAATTGAGCGGTACGTATAGCTCAACTCAGCATCTGCATCTTGCTCTGTACAACGACACACAAAAAAACACATTTCTCGTGGGAAAATTTATCTTTCGTCACGAGAGAGGACTCCACAGTCCTCTGCTTCGTGAGACCCATGTACTACTACTACACTTCATCTGCAGCAACGCGACCGTACGTCGTTCCTCCGTTTGTTTGTTCCCCGGCGGCGGCGGGGGATAGGCTAGTAGACGGCGTGCCGGCACATGGGGCAGTGGGGCTTCCACAGCAGCCAGCTGTCGATGCACGCCAGGTGGAACACGTGGCCGCACGCCGGCAGCCTCCTTGCGCTCTCGCCGGGCTGGAACTCCTGAGCAGGACAAGAACATCAGCTCGTCAGCTAATCAATGGCACATTGGCGCTATACATCACTAGCTCGGACGAGAAGCTAGCTATAGCACTGACATGGAGGCAGATGGGGCAGGTGGTGTGGTGGCCTGCGCCCGCGGTCTCCTTGGTGAGCACCGTTGCCGGGAGGCTCTCGACGGCGGCCCTCCGCGCGGCCGTCACCGGACCAGAGCTCGGCTCGAACAGGCCGCCTCGGGAGGAGTGGTGCTGCTGCAGCGCCTCGATCTGGCTGTCCAGCGCACCGCTGATGGTCGGGAATACCGAGCCGCGCAGAAGGCGGCCGGCCGCCACGCTCCTGAGCACCAGCCTCTGCAAAATGAACTCCATAAATTAATTGTTGATCTTGGTCAATGGCGATCCAATCTCCAACATGGCGACCTGCGAAGCGTACCGTGCGTTTGATGCGCTCGTCCATGGAGCAGTCGCCGCAGGTCCATATCCTGAGGAGGGAGTCGGCGAGCTCCACGGAGACGAGGGCGCCGGTGACCGCCCCGACGACCGCGCCCTGCAGCAGGGCGTCCTCGTTGACGAAGCCCCACAGGAGGCCGAGCATGCCGCCGATCACCGTACCGGCTGCACACAGTGCACCTCGGTTAATCAATCGGCATAAGATCGTTTAATTATGGCGGGAAAAAAAGAATGCATAACATGCATGTGCGGCCGCGCGTACGTACCTGCGCCGAAGGCGGCGACGACCAGCGAGCGCGCCAGCCCGCCGGCTGCTCTTGTGGCCACGTCGAGCATGTTGCCGCTACGTTCTCGTACGAAGGACCAGAGTCTAAGGAGTTTGTGACGGACGTATTGCGATGGTCGTCGATGGAGATCGAGCACGCACGTGTAGCTATCGACACGGAGGCGGAATGGAGGAGCAGCCAGCGGACGCGTGCACCTATATATCCGGAGGGCCTGCGGTGTGCAGTAACACGCGGCAGCGGAATGTCGTTGCCCCGGGCGCTCCCCGTCGACGTCGAGGGCGGGCGAGGCGGCCCCAAGCAAGCACGGATGGAGTTAAAGAGGGCATCTGATCTGAGGGTACTGAAGCAAGCGGGCGGACGAGGAGTACAGGACGTCAGGACCTTTCCCCGTCGCTGGGGGTTGGGGGCGTTGGTTGCGCTTTGCCCCGCCCGGCCGGGAACGGGACCGCGCCGCATGCATGCGCGTGCACGGATGGGAATGGGATTCGCTTTGCCGATTTTAGAGGGACGATGCAGAGAGTATCGAAGAAGCAGTGGATGCGCGAGACCTATGCTCTCATGTAGTACTACCTTGCACCCAACTACGTACGTCCAAGTTTGAGTTTGAGCGATCGCCGGCCAGACGACAGCAACTTGTCGCCGCCCTGGCCGCTCTGCGTCTACGTCGGGGACTGGCGAGGCGAGTCTCTGCTATGTACGGATAGAGCTTGGAGGAGGCAGGCATGATCAGCCAAGGCAGGCCGGTGCTCATTAATGAGCGGGCACCGGGACAAGGGACCTCTTATCTGCCCTACTGATATAGTGATATGTATCGCCTGCTGCGATCCTTTTTTTTTTTGAGTCTGGCTTTAAGCAAGACGATAGCTGAGTTAATTACAAGTACCACACTTTGAGCAGTTGTAACGAATGAATACCACTATTTCATTTTTTTGCAAGTCAGTATCACGTCTGAGGCTAATTGTTGCAAAACGGTTTAAGAACCGTATAACGTTGTATTGACGTTGTATCTGACCTCCCGGCCCCACCTGTCAGGTGACAAGCCGGCGAACCGGTGTTGCCGCTCGAGTGACTAGGACTAGCCCGGCTCGGTCGATCTATACGCCTGGGTCGTCGGACCCAACTCACTCCCCTCGAACCCTAGTCCCCGGCCCGCTCGAGCTTCTCGCCCTCCGATTCGCCGTCGACCGCCACGCAATCCCCCGCCGCCACCGCGCCATGGTGCACGAGGATGAGAGCAGCGACGACTACTCCAGCCTGCAGTACATGAACTCCTCCGACAACGACGACATGCAGTACCGGGTGAGTGGTGGAGCGAGGGTTAGTGTTAGGGTTTCTGCTTTGGAGATTTGATCTTTGATTTGGGGGGTTTTGGATCATTTTGCTCCTGTAGATCCCTGCGAGCATTGAAGACTAAGACTACATGGGCATTGAGACTGGAACCATTGTTCCCTGCAAGCACCATGGATTGCCATATGAGAGGTGTGTAGCCTTTGAGGGATTCGAGACGAGGAGGAGGTTCTTAGGCCCCGTTCAGAAGTCTTCCATAGGCCAGCTTCCTAAAATCGCTCCGAGAAGCCAGCCGAACGGATCTGCTCCGAGAAGCAGGCTTCGCGGAGACGAGGAATACGCAGTGCAAATTTTTCGGATTCGAGGAGCAGCGCCAGCCCAGCTTCGTGAAACAGAGAAGTAGGAGTTGATCAAATTTACATGGGAATGCCCTTCCGAAGTGAGGCTCGCGTACCATTTCGATCGCTACAACCGGCCCTCAACACATCGAAGCAAGGAGTTGGTCGAAATTACATGCCACTGCCCTTCCGAAGTGAATCTCACGTACCGTTTCAATCGCTCAAACCTGCTTCCCCAACCGAACTGGGCCAACATGACCTGGCCCAAACCCTGGCCGAACAGGCCTTAGCCTGATTTCCTGGGCTACCAGTCCATGCGTACGTGAGGAGCGAAGGATGTTCAACCGAACGAATCGCTGCTCCACTGAGAAGCTGGAGGCTAGCGAGAAGTTGGGAAGCCAGCTATTTCGGGAAGCCAGCAGAGATCCGAACGGGGCCTTAGTCTATGCTCTAAAAGTAAGATTGTGCAATTAGTAACCTCATAGTATTAAAAATGGTAGTAGTTTGGTCAAAGTAAGATTTCGTTCTTGTGATTGTCATTCTTCAGCCAATTAGTAGTACTGATGCTGATCATTGGAAATAGGCATCTGCTCATGTACACCTTGTATATTTAGTTTGGACAATATTTGTTAATTTTATATGTGGCCAGGAGCTTAGTTTGCAGTGCACATCATTGTTTAATAGGACAACTATGTGATTGTTTAGTGGAGTCTCTATTTAGTAATTTATAGCTGTTGTACTTTTTGTAAGGATTAATAAATTGCCTATGAGATTGGGTTGCAGTGTTGCAGTGCACATGTTGTGCTGTTCTTTAGGTCATTCTTAATTGTAGTATTTGATTGAAATTTAGTTAGATAGTTCTGTTGTTCTTTAGTTCTTTACGTAAAATTATTTTCTTTAATTGTAATATTTAGTGTTCTGTTGTGATGTTCTTTACAATCATATTCTTTAACAATATAAGTGTTGAATATATTGCAAGAAGGTCAGAACTATGGTATTGTTCAATGGGTTGACCCAGAGTGGCATCCTACAATGCAGAATGCATTGTTGAAGCAATGGGAAATGTATCAACACAGCAGGAGTGATAGGAGCAAGGATAACCTAGAGAGTTCACTCACTATTCACCATTTGACAGAAGAAGAAAATAAACGGGAGGCCAACTATGACAAATTAGTTGAAGATGTTCATCAACTGTTCAATGCCCAAGAGGATAGGGTGTTGGATTTCAGATATTTGCAGTCTAAGATGCAGAGTGCAGAGGAGAGGAGAGTTGAGGTGACCAACTCAGTTGTCTCATATATGAAGACAGATGAAA